AGGAGCTGGGATATAAGGATAAGGAGCTGGGATATAAGGATAAGGAGCTGGGATATGAGGATAAGGAGCTGGGATATGAGGACCAGGAGCTGGGATATAAGGACCAGGAGCTGGGATATAAGGACCAGGAGCTGGGATAAGAGGACAAGAAGCTGGGATATGAGGAAAAGGAGCTGGGGTAGGAGAGCTGAGAGATGAAACAATGCCCATCCAATTGAACCATAGGGGATCGAACAACGGACTTGCAAGAAGCGAGGCGGTCGCTACCGACCAGTCCAAGTGGATGGCCTGAGTTCTCTACCAATCCAAAGTCAAATAGAACAGTAAATTGAAATTAACATTTCAGCTATAACTGAAATATTTGTTGTATAATTCAAAGTTACAAAGTATGACTTCTGTATTTTTAGCTTGAGCTTAAGTCTAAGAAAAAACATTTTAGGGACAATAAAGACAATCTTCATAATAAATCTTAAATGGGCCCCTCAGACAGTCCCTGATCGATTATTCTGAAATAAAGTAGGCAGAGGGAAGATCCCAGTCAATCCTGGTCACTATGCTTCCCCTCTATAGAGCTCAGTTCTCAATGCCACCTTCACCATCAACGCCAGAGACTTGACTCGAAGGGCCTCGGAGGAGAATGACTCTTAGGCAATGGTGGAAAAGAAGCGGGAATAGCGTGGAGAGCCCAAGGCAGATGGGACCCAATAGGAGAAGGTCTGCAAGATATTTTGACCACAACTGAAGGGCGACTTGAAGACGCCATTCCTTTTTTACGATGGTGACGGTGTATATTGGAAGAGGTCTTCATTGCTCCAGTTACAGACCTGATTCAGACATCATGGGCCGGACTGATGGGAAAAAACGGCTTCTGGGAATTAAATGAAAAAGCCATTTGTAGGACAGTTGCTCTTTCACACACACATGGTCAAGAAGTACATCTGGAAGATGCACTTCTGCATCTTTAAAATTAATCTAATAACCAAATGTTGTTTTCTCACATGAAGAAGATGCATAAAATGTTGCATAAAAGGTGAATTGATAATGCAAGTGGTAAGAATGAGGGGAAAAAATCTAATTGTCTCTTCTGGGTAATTTTGAGACGTCCAGTCGGTAGAAAAAAATATGATAATATTTTTTATTACTTCCCTACCTTTCACCACCTTCCCTACCCTTCACCACCTTCCCTACCCTTCACCACCTTCCCTACCCTTCACCACCATCCCTACCCTTCACCACCTTCCCTACCATTCACCACCTTCCCTACCCTTCACCACCTTCCCTACCCTTCACCACCTTCCCAAAACCCTTCACCACCTTCCCTACCCTTCACCACCTTCCCTACGCTTCACCACCTTCCCTACCCTTCACCACCTTTCCTACCTTTCACCACCTTCCCTACCCTTCACCACATTCCCTACCCTTCACCACCTTCCCTACCCTTCACCACCTTCCCTAAACCCTTCACCACCTTCCCTACCCTTCACCTATCCTTCACCGCCTTCCCTACCCTTCACCACCTTCCCTACCCTTCACCACCTTCCCTACCCTTCACCACCTTCCCTACCCTTCACCACCGTCCCTACCCTTCACCACCTTCCCTACCCTTCACCACCTTCCCTACCCTTCACCACCTTCCCTACCCTTCACCACCTTCCCTACCCTTCACCACCTTCCCTACCCTTCACCACCGTCCCTACCCTTCACCACCTTCCCTACCCTTCACCACCTTCCCTACCCTTCACCACCTTCCCTACCCTTCACCACCTTCCCTACCCTTCACCACCGTCCCTACCCTTCACCACCGTCCCTACCCTTCACCACCTTCCCTACCCTTCACCACCTTCCCTACCCTTCACCACCTTCCCTACCCTTCACCACCTTCCCTACCCTTCACCACCTTCCCTACCCTTCACCACCTTCCCTACCCTTCACCACCGTCCCTACCCTTCACCACCTTCCCTACCCTTCACCACCGTCCCTACCCTTCACCACCGTCCCTACCCTTCACCACCTTCCCTACCCTTCACCACCTTCCCTACCCTTCACCACCTTCCCTACCCTTCACCACCTTCCCTACCCTTCACCACCTTCCCTACCCTTCAGCACCGTCCCTACCCTTCACCACCTTCCCTACCCTTCACCACCTTCCCTACCCTTCACCACCGTCCCTACCCTTCACCACCTTCCCTACCCTTCACCACCGTCCCTACCCTTCACCACCTTCCCTACCCTTCACCACCGTCCCTACCCTTCACCACCTTCCCTACCCTTCACCACCTTCCCTACCCTTCACCACCTTCCCTACCCTTCACCACCGTCCCTACCCTTCACCACCTTCCCTACCCTTCACCACCGTCCCTACCCTTCACCACCTTCCCTACCCTTCACCACCGTCCCTACCCTTCACCACCTTCCCTACCCTTCACCACCCCTTCCCTACCCTTCACCACCTTCCCTACCCTTCACCACCTTCCCTACCCTTCACCACCTTCCCTACCCTTCACCACCTTCCCTACCCTTCACCACCTTCCCTACCCTTCACCACCTTCCCTACCCTTCACCACCTTCCCTACCCTTCACCACCTTCCCTACCCTTCACCACCTTCCCTACCCTTCACCACCGTCCCTACCCTTCACCACCTTCCCTACCCTTCACCACCGTCCCTACCCTTCACCACCTTCCCTACCCTTCACCACCGTCCCTACCCTTCACCACCTTCCCTACCCTTCACCACCGTCCCTACCCTTCACCACCTTCCCTACCCTTCACCACCTTCCCTACTGTTCACCCCTACCCTTCACCACCTTCCCAACCCTTCACCACCTTCCCTACCCTTCACCACCTTCCCTACCCTTCACCACCTTCCCAAAACCCTTCACCACCTTCCCTGCCCTTCACCACCATCTCTACCCTTCACCACCTTCCCTACCCTTCACCACCTTCCCTACCCTTCACCACCTTCCCAAAACCCTTCACCACCTTCCCTACCCTTCACCACCTTCCCAAAACCCTTCACCACCTTCCCTACCCTTCACCACCTTCCCAAAACCCTTCACCACCTTCCCTACCCTTCACCACCTTCCCAAAACCCTTCACCACCTTCCCTACCCTTCACCACCTTCCCAAAACCCTTCACCACCATCCCAACCCTTCACCACCTTCCCTACCCTTCACTAGTATCGAGAGTGGCAAACTTAGTGCTTCTGCACACTCCTTTAGCATCCCCGGTGAAATTTTACCAGCACCAAATCTATTTGACGCGCGCGCGTGTGTGTGAGAGAGAGAAACAGATCCGCTGGCGCAAAAGTTACCATGACTGCACTTACTCAACTAGATCAAGAACCACTTAACTCTCAAGGTTCACACCATGTGGCCCCCACACACAGTATCGTGGTCTCACAACGTTAGCTTCACGCACAGTGTAATCAAATTCCAGAGTTGATTAAAAACACAATCGCTAGGGGGGATATGTTTTTACCTGGGGCTGGAATTTTTGGTGGTGAGATAGCCAACCCCCATCTTGTGTCAGCGGACTGACAGCCACTAGCCAGTGAAGCTTGTCAGCTGCTAGTTAGTGAAGCCTCCCTCTCATGTAGTCTGTCAGCTGCTAGTTAGTGAAGCCTCCCTCCCATGTAGTCAACTGCTAGTTAGTGAAGCCTCTCTCCCATGTAGTCAGCTGCTAGTTAGTGAAGCCTCCCTACCATGTAGCCTGTCAGCTACTAGTTAGTGAAGCCTGTCAGCTGCTAGTTAGTGAAGCCTCCCTACCATGTAGCCTGTCAGCTACTAGCCAGTGAAGCCTGTCAGCTGCTAGTTAGTGAAGCCTCCCTACCATGTAGCCTGTCAGCTACTAGCCAGTGAAGCCTGTCAGCTGCTAGTTAGTGAAGCCTGTCAGCTGCTAGTTAGTGAAGCCTGTCAGCTGCTAGTTAGTGAAGCCTGTCAGCTGCTAGTTAGTGAAGCCTCCCTCTCATGTAGTCTGTCAGCTGCTAGTTAGTGAAGCCTGTCAGCTGCTAGTTAGTGAAGCCTGTCAGCTGCTAGTTAGTGAAGCCTGTCAGCTGCTAGTTAGTGAAGCCTCCCTCCCATGTAGTCAACTGCTAGTTAGTGAAGCCTCTCTCTCATGTAGCCTGTCAGCTACTAGTTAGTGAAGCTTCCCTCTCATGTAGCCTGTCAGCTACTAGTTAGTGAAGCCTCCCTCCCATGTAATCTGTCAGCTGCTAGTTAGTGAAGCCTCCCTCTCATGTAATCTGTCAGCTGCTAGTTAGTGAAGCCTCCCTCCCATGTAGCCTGTCAGCTACTAGTTAGTGAAGCCTCCCTCCCATGTAATCTGTCAGCTACTAGTTAGTGAAGCCTCCCTCCCATGTAATCTGTCAGCTACTAGTTAGTGAAGCCTCCCTACCATGTAGCCTGCCAGCCACTAGTTAGTGAAGCCTGTCAGCTGCTAGTTAGTGAAGCCTCCTACCATGTAGCCTGCCAGCCACTAGTCAGTGAAGCCTCCGACAGCCTCTCCTTCCCACGCTTAAACCATAAAACAAATTCCTCAAGCTGCCCTTGAGCTCTTCCCCTCCGGTTTCCTCGGCCTCTAATACAACGACATTACGCATCAATACGCAAATTCCCACTCCAACATTTTACATCACAGCTCAAAAGCCCTCCCAAAAAATATAATATTCGAGATATATGTAAATCCTTTTTGGTGTGTTTGTAATGGCCGAGAAATTGTTTTTGATAAGAGGTATTTGCGTCCACTGAAGAGTATGATGGATCTTGACACTGTAAATGGCGTTAGGAAGTTTGAGAAGGAAATGGGTAGAATATACCACTGTGTATATTATAAATATACCGTGGATATATCGATATAGGTTTTACCAGGGCACACGCAAAGTCTCGCTTTGTTACCGTGTCCCACGCGGTGATTCCAGTCAGATTTGACTGTTTCTTGACTGTGTCTTGACTGAACCTAGATCAGGCCTGAAATGGGCTTGGACCGGGCCTTGAGTAGCTTCTAGCTGGACCTTGTCCAGCACTTGACTGGGTCTTCAGCACACTTTGACCGATCTTTGGCTGGCCCTTGAACACCTCTTGACTGGGTCTGGATCTTATCCATCTTGACCTTTGTTGGCCTTTGACCTGACCTCTGCAAAAGGTCATCGTCCCTACCCATTATTTATATTAGAGGCATTCTTGACTCTCTCTCTAGGAGACACCACTGTGGACGTCATCTTAATAGAATAACGCTAATGGGAGTAATGCTTTCTATTAGAGCGCATGTGCTTTCTATCAGAGCGCCTGTGCTTTCTATTAGAGCGCATGTGCATTCTATCAGAGCGCCTGTGCTTTCTATCAGAGCGCCTGTGCTTTCTATCAAAGCGCCTGTGCTTTCTATTAGAGCGCCTGTGTTTTCTATCAGAGCGCCTGTGCTTTCTATTAGAGCGCTTGTGCTTTCTATCAGAGCGCCTGTACTTTCTATCAGAGCGCCTGTGCTTTCTATCAGAGCGCCTGTGCTTTCTATCAGAGCGCCTGTGCTTTCTATCAGAGTGCCTGTACTTTCTATCAGAGCGCCTGTACTTTCTATCAGAGCGCCTGTGCTTTCTATCAGAGCGCCTGTGCTTTCTATCAGAGCGCCTGTGCTTTCTATCAGAGCGCCTGTGCTTTCTATTAGAGCGCTTGTGCTTTCTATCAGAGCGCCTGTGCTTTCTATCAGAGCGCCTGTGCTTTCTATCAGAGCGCCTGTGCTTTCTATTAGAGCGCTTGTGCTTTCTATCAGAGCGCCTGTGCTTTCTATCAGAGCGCCTGTGCTTTCTATCAGAGCGCTTGTGCTTTCTATCAGAGAGCCTGTACTTTCTATTAAATCGCCTGTGCTTTCTATTAGAGCTCCTTTGCTTTCTATTAGAGCCTATTTATCTTCTATTAGAGACTTTTTGCTTTCTATCAGAGCTTCTGTTGCTTTTGTTATAGCTTTTTGGGGACGTCTATTACAGACTATTAAAGCCTAAGTTGTCTTCTATTCTTCTATTAGTCCTCTATTGGAGCCTCGGTGCTTTTTATTTGATCTGTCAAATGAATTATTAGTCTGGAGTTTCTTTCACCCTATGCCCCTGTTACCTAGCAATAAAATAGGTACCTGGGTGTTAGTCAGCTGTCATGGGCTGCTTCCTGGGGGTGGAGGCCTGGTCGAGGACCGGGCCGCGGGGACACTAAAAGCCCCGAAATCATCTCAAGATAACCTCAAGATAGTCTGGAGCAGATATTTTGGGGGTTGACTTTTATGTGTGTTGTTCAGGCCCTTTGTAGAAGAGCGAGTCAGTGAGGATTTTATTCAAGGCGGTCCTCGTATGGGTGAACAGCAACGCGTTTTCCACCTTCAGCTCCTGGGGCCTGATTCAGGAAGCGGAAGCAGCTACGCAAGCACTTACGAACCTGGGGCCAGATTCAGGAAGCGGAAGCAGCTACGCAAGCACTTACGAACCTGGGGCCAGATTCAGGAAGCGGAAGCAGCTACGCAAGCACTTACGAACCTGGGGCCAGATTCACGAAGCAGTTATGCAAGCACTTACTAACCTGGGACCTGATTCACGAAGCAGTTACCCAAGCACTTACGAACCTGGGGCCTGATTCACGAAAGCAGTTATTGCAAAGCACTTACTAACCTGGGGCCTGATTCACGAAGCAAGCGTTACCCAAGCACTTACGAACCTGGGGCCTGATTCACGAAGCAGTTACCCAAGCACTTACGAACCTGGGGCCAAATTCACGAAGCAGTTACGCAAGGCACTTACGAACCTGGGGCCAGATTCAAGAAGCAGTTACGCAAGCACTTACGAACGTGTACATCTTTCCTCAATCTTTGACGGCTTGGTTACATTTATTAAACAGTTTACAAGCATGATGAAAACTTGCCAATCAACTGTTGTTATTGGTATAAACAGCCTCCTGGTGCTTCGGAGCTCATTAACTGTTTAATAATTGTAAACACAAGCCGCCAAAGATTGAGAAAAGATGTACAGGTTCGTAAGTGCTTGCCTAAGTGCTTTCGTGAATCTGGCCCAAGAATATTTCCTTCCAGGAGTTCCTCTGTTCTGGAGCGATTTTAGATTTTTATTGTAGGAGTTTGTCTTATGCTGTTACAATGTATAAGAGAAACCTCTTCCTCTGATGGCTCTGTTGACCAGACCACACACTAGAAAGTGAAGGGACGACGATGTTTCGGTCCGTCCTGGACCATTCTCAAGTCGATTGTGAGAAGGTTTCAAA